CTCTTCCAAAAGGAAAGAAATTTATTGGCTGTCGATATGTCTACAAGACCAAATTGTACTCAGATGGTTCCATAGAAAGGCACAAGGCCCGGTTGGTAGCCAAGGGCTACACTCAAAGAGAGGGATTCGACTTTCATGAAACCTTTAGTCCAGTTGCAAAGCTCACTACTGTTCGTGTCTTCCTTGCTTTGGCAGCACTTCACAATTAGCATTTGCATCAATTGGATGTTCACAATGCATTCCTCCATGGGGATCTAGAAGAAGAAATCTACATGGATTTACCTCCAGGATTTCAGCCTAAGGGGGAGTCACTTACAGATCAAAAATTAGTTTGTAGACTGCACAAGTCCCTTTATGGCCTTAAGCAAGCCTCAAGGCAATGGCACTCAAAATTTTCCACATCTCTCATTGCCATTGGTTTCCAACAATCCAGGTCAGATTATTCTTTGTTTACAAAGATTCATGATGGTCAATTTGTTGCATTGTTAGTATATGTTGATGACATTCTCATTGGAAGTAATGATCTCAAAACAATTGACTTCATCAAGACATATCTGCACAACCAATTTAAGATCAAAGATCTTGGCAATCTAAAGTACTTCCTTGGCTTAGAAATATCAAGATCAGAAAAAGGAATTCATTTGAGTCAAAGAAAGTACACTCTTGAGATTTTAGAGGATGCTGGTATGCTCGGATGCAAGCCTACCAACACACCAATGGAATTGAATCATAAACTTTCTCATTTGGCAGCAGATCCTCTTATTGACATTACAAGTTATAGGAGGTTGGTTGGAAGGTTGATTTATTTGTCCATTACAAGACTAGATATCACATACTCTGTTAACATCTTGAGTCAATTTATGGATCGCCCTTCACAGATCCATCAGCAAGCTGCACATCGAGTCTTGAGATACCTCAAGGGATCCATAGGCCAAGGCCTCCTATACTCTTCCAATTCTACACCATTCCTCAGGGCATTTAGCGACTCAAATTGGGCAGCTTGCCCTGAGACCCGAAGATCTACTACTGGTTTTTGCATCTTCTTAGGAGATTCTTTAATTAGCTGGAAATCAAAAAAGCAAACCACCATATCTAGGTCCTCTGTCGAAGCTGAATACCGCGCATTGGCTAACACTAGTTGTGAGATTATATGGTTGATAAATCTGCTGCAAGATTTTAATACCAGCCATCCGAAACCTGCCCTCCTATATTGTGATAACCAGGCAGCCATACACCTCACCAAAAATCCAATGTTCCATGAAAGAACAAAGCACATTGAGTTGGACTGTCATCTTGTTAGAGAGAAGGTGCTTGCTGGAATTATTACACCAGTACATGTGAGTTCAAAATTACAGATTGCAAACATCCTAACAAAGGCTCTACCTACTACTGCATTTCATTTTCTATGGTCCAAGATGAACACACTTAATCTGTGCGTCCACCTTGAGGGTGAGTCTCAAGATTCAAGGATATTGAGAGATAAGTCAGCAGAAAAATCTGCCCTGAGGATCAGAAGAAAATATGCCCTATGATCAGCAAAAGATCTGCTGTAGAAGCAGTTCAGCATAACACCTTGGAAACATGAAGAAGTTCAGCACAACACCTTGGAAACATAAATGCTTTCTTATCTTGATTAATAGCTACTGCCAACATTTTTCAAGCTATTTTATTCTTTCTTTACCTGTATAAATTACCCTATTGCGTTCCTCTGTTTTTCAAGTGTTAAACTGCATATTTTGAGTATATTCAATCTTTCACAATCTTCTTGTTCCAAGCTATTTTCTCTCAACAAAATTGTAGCTTATCTTTCTCATCCTTCATTCAATTCTAACAGTTAGAGATACCTTGGATCGATTAGAAGGAAAAGTCTTATACTTGTGGAAGTGCTCCCAAACTCTCTTCCAATACGTACTCTTCGATTGATCATTTCCTTGTGCCGCATCCAAACTAGTGTTTAGCCACCCTGATACAAAATATATTATCTTCTTCTATGGTGAAATTTTCACCACGTGATTTTTTAGCACTGCATTCTATTTCTACTTGGGATGGCAACAATTGACTCACTGAGTTTGGGGACCCAACCAATTCTTCATCAATAGACCCTTTTTGTAAGAGATTGGTGAAATATGCATTCTGTTACACTTGTGAATCCATTCAACAAGCTCATAAAACAGGGCAAGAAAAACAGTGTTAGATTGTTGGAGGGAGATAGACTATTAGAGGAATAACAGAGTTTGAGACTATTGGAGGAATAACAGAGTTCTGTTTGAGACTATTGGAGGAATAACATAGTTTGGGACTGTTGGAGGGAGATAGACAATGTGGAGGCAAAGACAAGGGAAAAACAATGGCGGGAAAGACAATGAAGAAAGAGAAAAAAATATAAATTATGTTTACAAGTGGCTACAGTGATACTCTAAATATACGAACAACATCTGTTAGAGTATCACTTTTGATTTTAGTTAACTAAATTTTAGTTATTTTGATCATTTACAGCATTTGTTGGAGAGGCTCTAATATTCACAAGAAAATGGGGGCCTCATCCCAAATGGGGCCCTAAACAGCCGCTTAAGCGACTTTGCATTTAAGTCGAACTTGGGTAACAATGACATTAAGTTATTATTATCACGTGATTTCACTATTTAATAAAAAAATAATAAATTATTAAATAGATCTCACTAAAACTAATAATCTCTCCTTTAAATAATATGATAACTACCTTATATATAGTAATCTTACTTTATCACTAAACTTGGTCAGTTTTTACATTTATTTTTTAATTTTTTTTTGGATTTGTGAATATTACATTATGATTTAACGGTCCATATAAAAAGTGTTAGGTAGATGTTTATGGTGTATAGCATTCATGATGGTGCTATTCGTGTCCTTCATATGTTCTTTTGTATTGTACCAAAATTTGCTGATATCATATATTTTGTTTTAATTTATTTGTAGTCATTGATCATAAAAATAATAAAATTAAGTAAAATAATCAAATATAAAACACTTTATACTTGCCTTGCTTTATTTAGTGGATTATTATTTTGAAAAATAGCTTTTTAATGCTGTCATTGGACCCTCTTATTATAGATGGTTAGAAACAATTAAACAGCATCCTACAAGCGGCATATTATGGTGCCTTCAATTTGTCTTTGATATGAAAAAAATAATAATAATTTTGTGTTTGAAGGCGCTCTATAATACAAAAAATAGAATATTAATTGTGCAACTTTTATGTTTTAAAAATAATATATTTTTTCTTTTATTTACTTATGTAATTTAACATTGAAGCAAAGAGGGAAATATGAGAGATAAAAAGAGAGAAATAGATGTGAATTAGTAGGGTCGACTATTATTAGAGAATGCATAATATTATTTGGATCTAAAAATTTGATCTAATTTGCTGACATAATGATGTGGTTTCAGTAGAACCATTAGATCAACACTAAGTTCCAATGTTTAATGCGTCTCACAGCTAATCCAAAGATCATAGTGAATTAAGTCAATAAATTAGATCTCAATAATATTGCTCTTAGAAAATATATTAGTTGAATTATCTAACGTTATGGATTTATGTAGTGAAAATGATGTCTTAAGCAAAAAAAAAAATTGAAATGAATTTTGTACCATTGTATCAAAGTAGATAAAAATTAAATCAATATTAACCGTTGTTCTTATTTTATAAATTGAGAATTTAATTTCTTAAATGTAATATTAAATATATAACCAACAAAAAAGTAAGGTCCAACTTACAATACAATCTAGTGAGGTTTTTAAGGATCCATCTTAATATTTTAAAATTATTTGCTGATTTTTTTTATTAGAACTCCGTTAATTAATTTTTTATTCATATCCTATTCATTTAGCGTTATAGTTAAGAAGTTAAATTCTTAATTTATAACCTATTAAGATTGATCCAATAGTACAAAATTTATCCTAATTTTTATTTCATCTCAAAAATATTATTTTTTTTGTATATTCCAATTTCAAACAATTGTACTAATCTACACTTATTTCTCTCCTCTCTCCCCTATCTATCTCTTAAAAAAAAGAAAGTAAAAAATACAAATATTTAAAATACAAATATTATATGATCAAAATTTAATTTTTTGTATTATAGAGTGTATTTAAGCATGAGTAAATTAATAACTTGACACTCTTATTTAGTTTAAAACTTACCTCACCAAAAATATCAACCGTGATAGTTTTGTATTTGGCAGTTGTGTTTTTCTTTTGGATTAATTGCAAATTGCTTTCGAAAAATCGTTTAGATCTCAATTTATATTTTCAAAGATTAAAAATATCAATTTTCACCCTCACGATATAAATTTATATTAATACCCGTCTAAAACTAGTTGGGTAAGTTATACTTAGACCCTTTCAAACTTGTCACTTATTGATTTGAATCCTCTCACATTTAAAATATTACTACTACAATCCTTTGTTCACATATAACACATAACTTTATATCGTTGATATCTATTAATATAAATGTTAGAAAACATAATTTCATCTTAATAAAAAATTATAATTTTTATATTACCCTTTATTTTGTGGGCTCGTTATACTTTAAAATTTAAAATCAAACTTATAATTTGAATGTTCAATATAATACATGTATTTATATAATATTTTTTATATCCAATATAATATATCACTTAAATAAAATTATTTGGATGTCCAATTGTAAGAATATGAGGAGATCTAGATATAATTTACCCAACTAATTTTAAACGATAAATTCACGACCGTTAATTTTAGGTACTCATTGATACGAATTTTTGTTTTTAAAAATATAAATTAAAATTCGAACGATGTTTTAAATTTGAATTTGCGATTAACCTTTTTTTTTTTTTTTTCACGCCCATGGCTTTGTATTCAGGAGTCTGACCTGTTACAATGCCCTTCAAACCTTATGCTTTTACGGTTTTACCTTCTTCATCGCTTAATTCAAGAAAATCAGATGAGCCGAAGCTGTGGCGTGTTTGGTCCCAGATAAAATGCAGAGACTTTCTTCACAATCACCGGTGACTCTCTTCAATAAATACCATCTCTTCTTACTTTCCTCCATATCAAACACTCCCACCCAATCCTATTCAAAGGTTCCATTCCATGACCTTCCCAACCCTCACCTCTCTTCCACCCAATCTCACTTGGGTTCACCTCAAAAACGGTTCAACTCCAACCCATTTCTTAAACCCACCAATCCCAACAAATCAGGAAGAGGGTTTGAGCTCATTCGCCTGGAAAACAAGCCAGAAACCTCTACAAGTGATCAAAACCATGACGAATTTGCTGCTGATGTTGAAAACGTATATAGAATTTTAAGACGATTTCATTCGAGAGTTCCGAAATTAGAACTTGCTTTGCAAGAATCCGGTGTCGTTTTACGGACAGGATTAACCGAACGTGTGCTGAAGCGTTGTGGGGATGCTGGGAATTTAGGGTATAGATTCTTTGTGTGGGCATCGAAGCAACCCGGTTATAGGCATAGTTATGAAGTGTACAAAGCAATGATCAAGATTTTAGGTAAAATGAGGCAATTTGGTGCTGTTTGGGCACTTATAGAGGAAATGAGTAAAGAGAATCCACAGCTAATATCGCCTGAGGTGTTTGTTGTGTTAATGAGGAGATTTGCCTCGGCGAGAATGGTGAAAAAAGCAGTTGAAGTGTTGGACGAAATGCCCAAATATGGGTGTGAACCAGATGAGTATGTTTTTGGTTGTTTGTTAGACGCTTTGTGCAAGAATGGGAGTGTGAAAGAAGCTGCTTCACTGTTTGAGGACATGAGAATCAGGTTTAGGCCAACAATAAAGCATTTCACTTCTTTGCTGTATGGTTGGTGTAGGGAAGGGAAGCTTATGGAGGCGAAATTTGTGTTGGTTCAAATGAGGGAAGCAGAGTTTGAACCTGACATTGTAGTTTACAACAATTTGCTTAATGGGTATGCTGTGGCGGGGAAAATGGTGGATGCATTTGATCTTTTGCAAGAAATGAGGAGGAAGGGTTGTGACCCAAATGCAACTTCGTTCACAATTGTGATTCAGGCACTTTGTGCTCAAGAAAAAATGGAGGAGGCAATGCGGGTTTTGGGGGATCTGCAGAAGAGTGGTTGTGAGGCGGATGTCGTGACATACACTACCTTGATAAGTGGATTTTGTAAGTGGGGTAAGATTAACAAGGCTTATGAGCTTTTGGAGGGTATGATACAGCAAGGGCATACTCCAAATCAGACTACTTATTTGCACATCTTGTTGGCCCATGAGAAGAAGGAAGAGTTGGAGGAGTGCATGGAAATTGTTGAGGAGATGCAAAAGATTGGTTGCATTCCTGACCTGAGCATCTACAATACTGTGATCCGCTTGGCATGTAAGCTGGGGGAGGTTAAAGAAGGTGTCCGGTTATGGAATGAGATAGAAGCAAATGGGCTTAGTCCAGGGGTTGACACCTTTGTTATTATGATTCATGGATTTCTTGAGCAAGGATGTTTATTTGAAGCTTGTGATTACTTTAAAGAAATGGTTGGGAGGGGTCTTCTATCTGCTTCTCATTATGGTACTTTGAAGGACCTATTAAATTCTCTGTTGCGAGCAGATAAGCTTGAAATCAGTAAAGATGTTTGGAGTTGCATCATGACTAAAGGATGTGAGCTTAATGTTTATGCGTGGACAATTTGGATTCATGCACTTTTCTCAAAAGGACATGTGAAGGAGGCTTGTTCATACTGTTTGGACATGATGGATGCTGATGTGATGCCTCAACCCGATACATTTGCCAAGCTTATGCGTGGTCTAAGGAAGCTGTATAACAGGCCGATTGCAGCAGAGATTACGGAGAAGGTGAGGAAGATGGCTGCAGAGAGACAGATGACCTTCAAGATGTATAAACGGCGTGGTGAGAGGGACTTGAAAGAGAAAGTTAAAACTAAGCAGGATGGGAGGAAGAGGAGGGCTCGTCGACGCCAGTGGGGCCGGGGCCGTAGTAGAGCTGACATTTTGTGATGCGAGGAAAGGGAATTATGTTGAGTCAATATAGTGGGGCTACCGATTTGTGAGAATATTAATGCACTGTGAGTTCTTGGATATGCATGACTCATTTTACTGGACAATCTTCTTAACCTTTGATTGATTTTTCTTCCTTCCCCATTTTAGTCAAGTATGCTTTATTTTCTGTGTTCTGTTAATTCTTGTTTTTCAAAATTGGCTAGGCTGAAATTATTGAACAAGGTATTGCAATCGCATTGAGCTTATTAGAATCTGTCAATGTGACAGAAAGAGAAGAAAGGGAAACAAAGAGAGCAACACTGGGCGTATTTTGGGTTGTAATTGCAGTTGCCTTTGCTCTTTTCATATGTAGCAACATGTGCTTGTCTGGATACCCTGGCTAGGACTGTCAAGTGAATGCAACTGCTGTCTCTGGCTTGAGAATCGTCACTATGTCAGTATGATATCTCCTGTTAAGAAGTATTCAATGTCGATGTGCCAGCTAATCTGGAATCATATTTTTTGGTAGCTGATTCCTCCTTCCAGCATTTAGATGTATTGAGCACCATTAGTACATAACTAATAAATATCAGATGACTACAAATTTCATCTCAGGTTCTAAATCTTGTGAAATATTGTGCTTGAACTATTTGATTTTTAGGCTGTTTGTTGAGCCTGACCCCCTTATTCATTTACTCTTTGGCCATGCAGAACTGTGAGTAATTATGCTCGAGGAGTGGACCCTTTAACAGCAATTGCTAAATGAGTAAAGCTGGAGGAAAAACATAAGCATGTGTTCCCTCGAAATCACATGAATCTTGCTTATGCAAACCTAAGGTGAGACTGTAATCTTATTTCTTGGAAGAAATTTTTTAGGGGTCATGTTTCACAGATTTTTGTTTTAAGAGATAATAACAGAAGGTTAAATTAGTTAGCAGTTATATTGGACACTGTCTTCTATGGCTGATGAATTGTTATCCGACGTTCCCTTACCATTTTAGGTTCTGAATTTTTGTTCATGTAGTTCTCACAAACCCTTTNTTAGTTAGCAGTTATATTGGACACTGTCTTCTATGGCTGATGAATTGTTATCCGATGTTCCCTTACCATTTTAGGTTCTGAATTTTTGTTCATGTAGTTCTCACAAACCCTTTCAACTTGAGGCATACGTATGTTATTCTATATATTCAGTGTTTTCTTTAATCTTGGATAACAACTTTAGTTTACCGTTAATGTGCATATGTTTTAGTGTATTCTCTAATCATCATTCTATATAAAATTGNTTCAACTTGAGGCATACGTATGTTATTCTATATATTCAGTGTTTTCTTTAATCTTGGATAACAACTTTAGTTTACCGTTAATGTGCATATGTTTTAGTGTATTCTCTAATCATCATTCTATATAAAATTGGTCACAAGGATCAAAATGTCGTTTCGAAACATCCAAAACGTTTTCATTTTTCCAAGAAACCGAAATGAATTAGTAATAGAATCAAAATTTTAATATTTTGAGGTGTTCCATAATGTTTCGAGATATTTTATAATATTTCAATGCATTTGTATAATTATTTCGAAATATTTCAAAGTATTTAAAGATATTTTGGTATATTTCAACCAATATTTTAGAAAATAATTCTTAATTTTTTAATTTTTTTCATTATGTTTCTAAAACTGGTCAAAATATTTCCAAAACACGTCGAAACGTTTTCGTTTCTTAGATGACCGAAACAATATATCGAAACGAAATTTTAATCATTGATTGATCATATGTTTAGTCTTGTGTTTTCTCATGGTATTTCGACATTATACTGAGATCTTCAATGAGACATGTTTAGTTTGCTTTTCCTGTTTTCACTTTCTCATGTTTGCACGAGTGTATAGTGCTTTCGTACCCACATTCATTAAATTATTGAACAAAAATAAAAAAGGCAATGGCAAAGAAGGGTATGGCAGGTGCTACATGTCCTACATTGGTGGGCATAAGTTTGGGACAAATCAATGTGCATAACTGTTTATGTGGAGGCATCTCTGTGTGTGTATATGTCTGTGTGTGAGACAGAGTGAGAGACTATTTGTAATTTGACATTGATATATACACACACACACATGTATATATGTATCTGGCCTAAACTCTTGCTTTTAGGCACTGTTTTTCACTAGCGAAAAGTAAGTTTCCTAACTCCTAGAATCATGTTTCACTTTTCCAGGGTGCATCAAAGCATTATTTTCCAACACAAAGTCAAGGATGAGACAAATTGTTGTTCCCTGGGAGTACAACTACTATATTAATCTTGACTAAGGACTTCTTGCTCGGTGAAATCCTTCGATCTGTGGTACAATACGGCTGGAGGAGAAGAACAGGCCAAAGGGCATAACGCTATACTTAAACACACCTATCGGGTAACATAGTAGTCTTTGGCTCATCTCCGGTCGCTATTCTGACTTGAGCGTACCCGAAGTGTAAGTCCAGCTTGGTGAAATAAGTGGCCTTACCCCAACGATCGAACAAGTCAGCCACCAAAGGAGGCGAGATATACCAGACCTGGTTAAGAAAAGCCACACCTTCTTGGACTGAACAACATGGCCTGAAGCGAGCTAGACAGCCATCCGATCCTCTAATGAAGAAGATAAGTCGCCTTGAACGGATAGTTAATAAGTTGAGTGGGGACAAATATGATGTTGCAGATCTTGACCCTATTCTCCAAAGTCAGGCTTCCGTACTTAAGTGGCCAGAGATAGTTTCCAGCAATGATAGGGAGAGCGTTACTTTTAAGTGAAAAGGGTCCATTTGATTCAATTCATGAATTAGTGCATTATGAGTCTATTGCATTTATAAATGTACTAGGGGTAACCCGTTTCTGAGGGCATGGTGCAATGTGAATGATTTTGATAGGGATGTTGATGGCCGTTGAATGAGTTTATTTGAGACTGTCGAATAGACTTATTGAAGTATGTCATATTTTATATTATATATATTGATGATACCTAAAAATAAATCGCAAACGCCAGCTCAGCCCAGGAGGTTAGACTAGACAACAGAACTCGGAAGAGTAGAGCCGNATAGACTTATTGAAGTATGTCATATTTTATATTATATATATTGATGATACCTAAAAATAAATCGCAAACGCCAGCTCAGCCCAGGAGGTTAGACTAGACAACAGAACTCGGAAGAGTAGAGCTGGAGGTCCCTTCGAGAAAAGCAAGGGCAATAACAACTAAGGCAACAACCGGAAGATCACGAGAAGTTCCTAAAAGCGTTAGGAAGCAATAATCGAGGCTCNGGCAACAACCGGAAGATCACGAGAAGTTCCTAAAAGCGTTAGGAAGCAATAATCGAAGCACCTAATCGCAACCAACCAAGATCTTCTCCTATAATCAAGGAGAACCCCACGACATAAGGGCAAGAATCTCGGCTAAAATCCCATTGAATAGGGAACAGCCCTATAAATACTATGTAATGCCCCCAAGGGATGAGGGGAACCCTAGAGGCAAAAATTAGTCATTGTACTCTTACAATCCTCATTATTGAAAGACAAGGAGCAAGAGTCTTCATTAAAGAGTGGATTAACCGAGCTCCCTATATTCTTACTGTGTTAATTCCTCAATTCCCCGACAATTCTCAGTATCATTCACTCGAGTCTAGTAGCTCAGATCCCAACAATTTCAATATTGTTTTCTTTCATTTACTTGTCATCACAAATTCTTATCACGCTGAAATATACCATCAGTTTGGCGCCGTCTGTGGGAACGACTGTTTCNTGTGTTAATTCCTCAATTCCCCGACAATTCTCAGTATCATTCACTCGAGTCTAGTAACTCAGATCCCAACAATTTCAATATTGTTTTCTTTCATTTACTTGTCATCACAAATTCTCATCACGCTGAAATATACCATCAGTTTGGCGCCGTCTGTGGGAACGACTGTTTCTGTTACAAATAAAGTTGATTTTCCAGTGACTGATGGTATCAACGCGAAACATAAGCCGAAGTCAGATCAATCCTCTATAGATGTAAGATCAATAGGAAGTCACAAATAACAGGCAACCCGAAAACGCTCAAGAAGCAGATTCCCCCATGGGGGGCCCTTCCCATGAATGATGAGATGGAGGCCCTTCGTCTTGTCAATGAACGTCTGATAAAATAGAACAAAGTGCTCTTAAAGTTCCTACAACGCCCATCGGAGGCACGACCGGCCCAGGGAGGCCAGAATAACCCACTACCAAGAGAGCAACTGCACCTCGACCCCCTCAGAGAAGTTAATGAGGTAGNATGAACGTCTGATAAAATAGAACAAAGTGCTCTTAAAGTTCCTACAACGCCCATCGGAGGCACGACCGGCCCAGGGAGGCCAGAATAACCCACTACCAAGAGAGCAACTGCACCTCGACCCCCTCAGAGAAGTTAATAAGGTAGGAGAGAATAGCCAGACCTTCGGGCAAGAACCTCGACTACCCCTTAGGAATGGACACAACGAGGAAGTGCAAAGTCAGTATAAGGAAGGGGAGAAGAGCGATTTCTTCCCTTATCAACAGGAGAGAAGAGAACACCACTGGGAGCAACATTTCAAAGACATTCAGCAAGAGCTCAGCCAGATGAAGGAGGCAGTGAAGAGCAAGGCCCCAGTCACTATGGATGCCTTGGTTCAGCAAACCGAATCCCCATTCACTACTGGAGTGTTGCACTTCCCTCTCCCACCTAAATTCAGAAAGCCGCAGGTGGATNTTTCAAAGACATTCAGCAAGAGCTCAGCCAGATGAAGGAGGCAGTGAAGAGCAAGGCCCCAGTCACTATGGATGCCTTGGTTCAGCAAACCGAATCCCCATTCACTACTGGAGTGCTGCACTTCCCTCTCCCACCTAAATTCAGAAAGCCGCAGGTGGATGCTTTCGATGGGACAAAAGATCCCGTGGACCACCTCAACACCTACAAAAACTAAATGGAGTTGCATGGATATCAAATCTAGTGAGATGCAGGGCCTTTGCTATCACCCTGAAGGGCTCAGCCTTAGCATGGTTCAACAGACTCCCCCCAGCCTCGATTTCCTCTTTTAAAGAGCTGTCAATCTCGTTTGTGTCTCATTTCATTGGAGCTCAAACCTATAGGAAACCGAGCTATCATTTGTTAAATGTGAAACAGGGACCTGATGAGAACCTACGGTCTTAT